CGAGCGCGTCCCCGACGGGCGCTCCCCGGTACCCGGCTGGGCTCTGCGCACCCCCGGGACGACGCCCACGGCGCCCTGGGTCCGGGCAGACCCCGCCGCCGCCCTCGCTCCCCTCGTCTGTGGGGGAGCGCAGCCCCCCGCGTCCTCTGTGTGTTTTAGGGCGATTCTGCTCCTTTCCCTTGCTCCAGAGACTCAGGAGCCCGGCCCACTGGCAAACCTCCGGTATCAGTTGTGCTTCAACTTCAGCATCGGTGAACCCCTTCCCTTCCCATCTCTTCTCCCCGACCTTTCTCCCCTTCCCTCAATCACAACTTCCAGATGATGTTTGCACACTCAAATCTGTACCTGTTTTGGTTCATTTCATGCCACCGTCATTGTTCTTACAGGACATTTAATGGGGAAAAAGAGCACTGGAGATTTTCCTCATGTTTCTGAAGAAGATAACAAGCCTCCGTTTTCAGCATTTCCCGACAATATCAAGCAGCTGGAAGACTATCTGCAGTGGGAAGAGATCTCAAAATACCTGCTACGGCTGCTGGAAGGAAATGAAAATAAAAGTGCTCATATTTTAAAAGGAGGGCTTCCCTGGTACAGCAAGAACACCTGGGAGACAGATGACAATAGCAGTTGGAAAGATGTAAGTAAGACAAAACCTGTAAAACACTCCATATATTCAAATTTCGGTTTACAGTAACGTATCAGCTTCCTCTAACTCGTGGATAGTCCAGAAAAGCAGCAGAAATGCATCTCCTGCACCAGTTGTTCAGCAAAGCAAGGCTCTACTCTTGATTTCAGATTGTCATTCGTAGGTTGTATTTTTATGAATTAATTTGCCACTGGGCATGAACTCAGCAGGTGTTGAGCAGATTTCGGTGTCTGGCCACCACCACGGTCATTTGTGGTCTTGCAAAACGGGCCTGTGGCTGCTGCTGAGCCCTGACGTGAGCCTGGGACCCTCCTCTCTTCCCTCGTGTTGATGTATTTATTAGCACTGCTTCAGAAGACAACAGGACTTTGGAGCAGATTCACCCCTATCCCCTTGGAAAATCCCATAAAATACATTTGGAAGGATATCGGTGAAGTTTTACAGAAAGTAATCGGGGTCTGAAGGACATAATGTAAATTGCAGAATTTACTGGAAAAGTCCTTTCTTTATAATGCATCAGGTACAGTAATGGTGATGTATCTGCAGAATTATTTTGGGTGACATTGAAATAGAATAAGGAAAATTAATACACCCCCTTAAAGACACTAATGGAAAGATTTTTTTTCTTGCCATAGTCTGATGTGATGTAATTTATAATCCTGGGCTGACTTCAGATTCCCTCCTGAAATCCTGGTGCAGTGAAGTCAGAGAATAGCTGGGGTTTATCTTGAATATAGGTAAAAATTGCCCGTTAAATCAAGCCATGATTTAAATCTTTTGCAGCACTGCTGTGAGGGCTGTCCATGCCTTTCTTTCTGGCTATGGCTTCATGACAGTCATGCTTTAATAACTGTGATTAATACTATATTCAAAATAAAGTATTAATCTCATCTTCATCTCTGCAGTGTGCAGCTCTGTAATCAAATTAGATGAACAAATTCCACTGTGCTGTGTAAATAGGGAAATATTTTGACTTCTAAAAGTATCTGGTAATAAATTATACTTAGGAAGGCTGAAAGTTGCCTCTGGTAAGTTGAATCATATCCATATATGTGTACTTTTACCCTAAATTAAAATCCACATTTTTGTGGTCAGACATTTAACATATATGTGGAATAATGAGATTATTGCCTCAAATATCCAGATTTCTCCAATGATTATTCAAAATACACATCTTTCATGTGACTAAGATGTACCACGACTTGTAAAACCTCATTTTGCCATGGAACCCTTGATTTCCAGCATCCAGCAGCATCCTGCTGGCGCAGTCGCTGTGCCAGGACCCTGTCACCACCCAGGGCTGAGTGTGCGCTTGCAGAGAAAAACTTGGACTTTAAATTTAAGGTCAGAAAAGCCCGAGGCTGCAGAAGTAAATACATGTCCATCCTTCAGGGAACTCGGTTGGGGTCTTGCTTAGCTCAGGTTCATTCGAGGCACTTGTGCTCACACTGTGCTGTGCATTTCTCAAGAATAATAAAACACCTTTCTAAAAGAGTCACCCGGATTAGGGAAAGTGCTGTAACACACAAATAGTCAAAAAGGCCAGAGATGAGGATTATGATTCTGGAAATTAGGCTTAGGGTGGTGCACCTGAGTCGTTTTCTCCTGTTTTCAGTTAATACCAGGCAAAAGAAGATCTTGCCTGCTCTGTGAATAAATTACAGGTAAAGTAGTTAAAGATCGGAAGGGAAATCTCTCCTGCAAGTTGGCCTGAGTGTGAAAGTAAGTTGGAAAATAAGCTTTAAGTTGTTTCTGTGACTTGGCTTCTTAACAGTAATGAGACACCATATAAATGAGATGGTAGACTGGGTTATTTGGAGAAAGGCTTTCCTCGTACTTTGGCAGCTGGTTATTACACTAACCAAGACAAATGGGGTCTGTTTTGGAAAGATTATTAGGTACGTGTTTGTTATGTGAATACACAGAGCAGATAAATATTAGGGTTATTACCTTAGTGAATTACTTTTTTCAGGACTGATGTACAAGTAATATTTTTCTCTTTTTATTAGATGATGGAGTATCTGCTTCAAGTTGTGAATATGAAAGAGAGTGCTCCAAGCTGAAAGGTCTCTAAATCATGAAGAAACTGAATACTTTCTGTAAGAGACTATATTTCACAAGCACTTGATTGTATCAGATAATCAACAAGGTCTCTTTTCTGTAAACAAGATTTCCTTTGTGTAAAATATCTAAATACACATATTCTTGTATGTTTCAGCAATGACTAAATTCTCTACTTCATTTTCAAGGTTGCATTTTCTCACTTGAATGGCTTTGAGATATATATAGATATATATATATATAATTGTCACGGAAGGGTCTTCCAGTTAATTATATGACTTGCCTATCGAATTGGTTCATCTCTTGGTTTGAAACTACATGACATTTCAATGTTCGCAATAAATAGTACAAATAAAAAGGCCAAGTTTATACTTTTGTTTGAGGTAGTAAAATGGAAATTGGCAGTGCCACAGCTCGTAACAAAGAAGCAACCAAATGATTCATTTTCCACTGAAGCTCTTCTCGATTTGCTCCCCGGTCCCCAATTTCTTGTCAATGGAGGGAAGCTGGCGCTGCCTTCCCCAGGTGATGCACTGCCAGCGCAGGCAGCACGGAGATCGGCTGTAAGATGCTCTGCCCTCTTGTTGGACGTGGGAGTGCGGCAGGACCCATTGAGCCATGCAGGAGCAGAAGCAGCTCTGGTCGAAGGGGTGACACTGGTCAGCAGTGGTGGGGCCACCTCTGCAGCGCTGTGTGCAGTCCTGAGCACCCCA